CATCCTGACAGTACTTTTTTTTTTTTTTAATTATTCATTGCTTTTGTTGTTGTTGGAGGGGAGAGTAGTTAACATTTATACTAATACTTTAGTATTTATTAATTTTATGTGTTCCAGTGTTTGGCATAAGATACAAAATAGTTGGCACAGAGCATTAAAAGATCATTTCTTAACACTATATTTCAGGTATATGTTATCAAAACAAGTACAGTTTTGGCCTGAAACTTCAAGGTCTTTCACAGCTTGTGGACACAGACTGCACATTGTGTCTGTGCTACTTGCTCTTCACTCAGCTTTCAACAGTGAATAGAAGGCAGTATTTCCAAATGGCACAGACCACTCCAAGAGGTATTGGACTGACTGGCATCAGTAATAAAAAGAAGGAGTTGAATTTTCCAGTATTCACAGTAACCATGTATCTTAGGTGCTTTACACAACTCTCAGTATAGGCACAGAGGTGCTATTTAAAGCTTTTACACATTGTGAGTTTGGAAGCTCTGTCTAGGGTGTATGAAGTCACCTAAGCCTTTGCATTTCTGCTGGGATCAGCTGGAGCAGAAGCACGAGTTTAAAAGAGGACACTGGCACTTAGCCTAAGAGAAAATAACTGGCAATAAATCCTTCCTCTAAAGTACTTGGATAATTTGTAGGTTAGAGATTAAAAAAAATCAGTAATTGAGGAGTTTCAAAATGCAAAAAGAATCTTGTGTGGTTTTGGTTATATTTTAAAGAAGAAATATATTTCTGAAGTAGTTCAGTAACTGAAGGATGTATCTGTCTATTTAGGCTCCTCTGTCCCCAAGTTTGAGCTTCAGTGGTGAGCACCTGGTGGGAAGGCAGGGCCAACCCTGAGGAGCTCAGGTGCATGCAGTGTACCTGTGTGACTGGAAAGAGTGGAGCCAGAATCCACCCCTTGCCAGACCTCACTTAAGGGCTGGCAATGGAGGTGACGGCATTTCATGCTGGAGTTCCCTGCTTGCCTAAGGCCTTCCAAAGATGAGCAGCTTTTATTTTTCCCTTAATTTCTGTATCTGCTGTATTTGGGCTTGTTCTCATTTCCTGTAGCCAAAGACTTCACCACCCTGCTATTAGCGTGGTGCCTTCCATCCCATTATATCCCATTACACATATACAAATCTCTACCTTGAATAACACGATGAGCTTGGCCTGTGTGGGAGCATGGTTTGGAGTTCCTGAATTTCTGATGCTCAGACCACCAATAACAGCATAGTTATGGCAGTCCATAACTACTCTGCAGCATATTTGCTTTCATTTAACTCTTCTTTCATTCATGAGTTAACTCTTCCATCAGTGTTAATTCTTGCACCATATCTAACCAGCCACCATAAAAAAAAGTCTGTACTAAATGTTACCTAGATGTTTGCTAAAGCAAGCAGACATCTTTCAGATCACTTAATCAGCTATGAAATGGGAAAGTGATATTTCTAATAAACTTCTTGGATCTTCTTCTAGTTGAAAATGCTTGAATGATAAAGCAAGTAATAAAGCATTTGTGTATTTTCCTGTGCACGCTGCTATAATTTCTACTGTGCTTTGCACCACTGAGTGCACAGCTGGCACTGGGGCTTTGCTAGATGTGTCCAACTATAGCAACCTATAAAAATGCCTTGTTTGCCAAAAGATCCCTAGCAACCTATATGTTTTCCATAGATTTATTTTTTTTTTCAAGGAATATTGAGGCCAATTTTTGTCATATGCTTATCTGCTGCATAGGATTTTTTTTACAAGTTAAGAGGGCCACAGCTAGGTCTGGTGTTGTTGTACTCACTGCAGGGACTATCTGATGTATACTGCAGTGTTTCCATGTGCAGACAGAATCAACAAAGAGAACATGAGCACTGCTGCATTGTTTGCCCAAGACAACAAAGATGGTCATTGGTAAAGGCATTTCTGATGAAAAATCCACAGCTATATTGCACTACTATATGTTGCACTACTATGTATTGCACTACTATGTGCTTATGGAGCATTTATTTTGTGTGTTTGCATTTCAGATGTCTGAAGGATTTTAGATCTTAATTGTGGCCACTACTTCCACAACCAGTGTAGTTTTCCAGCTGTTCACTTTCTAGTTTTGAAATTGCTTGGGTTATGAGGCAGGCATCATCTGTAACACTGCATGAGCGGAGAAATAAGGTGAAAGATGCTTTCAGCCGTCACCTTGAGATCTCATCTTGAAGGCCAAACAACCTGGCCAGGCAAGGCAAAAAAAACTAGAAGGAAAGGGAGAAGTTCACTTGTTCTCCTGGAAGGACTCCAAATATATTTAGTTTTATCCCTGAGATATATTTAGTTTTATCCCCAAGTTATGTTGAAATAACATCCTGTGTAACTTAACCCTAACAGCAATAGCTGACATTTAGGTAACTGTAAAATAAAAAGGGCCTATTTTGTATTTTTGTAGAAACACATTCAATCACCTCCAAAATCCAAAATAGATAACTTTGAAATATATTTCCTGAAATATATCTAAAACCAAACCTACATTTATGATTGTACTATACACTCAAAAGTGTTGTCATCTAAAGAGGAATTTATCAGGTGTTAGGCACTGGGTGTACTGGCCAAGTGCACAGTGGGTACATGCCATGTGAACTAATCAGAGTCTCAGGTGAAATACAAGCACTACAATTTACTATTTTTAGGCAGCTGGGATATTTCTCTGTGTGACCATGATGTTGAGGGCAACCGTAAGGCAACATCTCAACAATCGAGGTATGTTCAGTCTAAGTAAAAAGTCATCACCAGTAAAAACATATAAAGCCTTATAGCAGTTATTTATAATCTATGCAGAAGAAACTTCTCTGTCTCCATGAGGAATTACAGAAATAAGTGGATCACAGAAATAATCATAGAATAAACTATTTTAATAAAGCTCTCAAAATCTTCTCTTTCTGGATGGAATTCACAGAAATCAGAAAAGGTTTTATTTGTACTTCAGTGAATGACTTCCCTTAGTTTACATTAATCAACTACAATAGAAAGCAACAATACTCAATTTGCTAATATCTCCTTTGAATGCATAATATTGGCAATAGCAAAGCTTGTCAATATTTATCATCATCTCTTTCAATACTTAGAGCAATTTGAAAATTGAATTACATGTGGTTTTTGTGTGTATCACCGATTCCCAAGACCTTTGACTTCTAAATATGTTTTTTGCCAAGTTTTTAGTAGGCAACTGAAAAGGAAGTAGTCCTTGTCCACTTGACAGTTCTGTGAACCTGAATGTAAAATGTAATCCAAATGAAAAGAAAAAAACCAAGTTTAAACAGTTTGAACTTTGGTAATGTAGCATCATTTGAGGCTGACAGAGGACTTTTCCAACATAACATTAATAATCTGTCAATGAAAGCAAAACAGGAAAGATTACTTTTTCTGCAGCCTATGTAGCCACAATTTAAAAAAAAAAAATCTGCTATAGATAAGGAGTTAGTTTGTTATCATCTTTCAGTGCCCCTTTTTCTGCTTTTCATTGACTCTTTCTAGTGATATACTCTAGCATAAAATTCAGCATATCTTTTGTATTGCATCAAGGAAACTCTTGGAAGATATTTTTCTTGCACACACTTAGCCATGTTATGCCTGCAGAAACAAAGGCCTATGCTGCAAAGTCTCAAAATGAAGCCAAATTTGTGACTTCTATTTCAATTTGCAATTCAGTTTTCTTTCAAGAAGGATCAAGCATAGAATTAGTTTTGAACTTATTAACCACCCAGGGTTTCCTATGTTTCATCAGCTCCAGTTCTATGCTGATTAAATGCATAACCAACTCTTGCATTGCTTTTACTTGATCTGAGAGGTTTGATTATTATTTATTCACTTTGTCCTCAATTTACTCATGTGACCAACATACTAAATGGAAGTGAGAATTAGTCCCTTAAATACAGAGTGGCTACCTACTCTGCATTCAGGTAGGAACGTGATTATGTTTAGCTGGTTATCTTCAAATACAGATGTTAAACCTGGCTTACAGGTACGTAAGAATTGTTTTAATAGATCAGATTTTTTTCCTCCAAGAATATCCTTCTGGCCACAGTAAGTGATAACATGTTGGCAAGAATCCCAAAGGAGAAGCTTCTAGTTGTTATGTACTGGCCTAACTCCATGATAATTTAAGCTCAGGAGGACATATAAATAACTGTGTTCACTTCTCATTGTCTTCCTTTCTTAAATAGACTATTTCTTTTTATTGTTGGTTGTTTGTTTTTTTTCAATCAATAATTTAAGATAATTGGGGTTTGAATCCTATAAGCTTTTGAACCTACTTCCTAGTTTCTGCCACTCAGTTGGAATATGCATAACTGTATTCTTCACAGGAAGTCTCAGGATTTTAATTTTTTCATATCTGATTTTAATACTGCTGCCACCACTTCTTTATACATCTTCTACCATTTTTTCCTCTAAGATATTTATATGTATAATAGCAAATCCTTGCAATGTAGAATTTAAAAACTGAATTGAGTAAGGAAGCAATTCTATAAAGAAGCAATTCAGTTGAGTACGGTGTCTAAAACTCACCTCCTCTGGTCTGAGTTTTAGGTCATTGTACTCTACCTTTAAAATATTGATTTTCTTCTTGTTCTAGGAGGTTTAAAACACTGTTATTAAGCAAAGTTAACTGGGATATTCTGATTTTTGACCACTCCGTCTATTTTTATAAAGTCTTTATTCTCCCCTTTTCATTACTTGTCTTGCTCAGGTGGCCACATATTGCCATTAATATTAGATAACGTATTAATTGGTATCTTCAAATCACTTCACTTTGTGAAAGTCACATTTCTGATGCTTTTATCTTCTGTCACTTGTTTTGTGCACCTTTAATCAGATCTGACCAATGTTAAACAAAATTTCCTCTGAAACCTTTTTTTTTTCTGTATTTGAGACACTCAGTGAAGATTGACAGACTTTGTGTTCAGAAGAGTGACTCTTCTACAAACTTGTCGTGTTGATTTTATGTTGTCTTTTCTTTTGTGCAGTAGCAGCAGTTCAAAATGATGTCTCAAATTGCCTTCATCCATATGAACAGCTGATTCTTCAGTCCTTATCCAGTGAGGAAAGTTGTGTTTTCAGACAAAAAAAGATGATTCACAAGGAGATCACAGAGTTGTGGGGGTTGGAAGGGACCTCCGAAGATCATCAAGCTCAACTCCCCTGCAAAGCTGGCCCCCTACAGCAGGCTGCACAGGTAGGTGTCCAGGTGGATCTTGAATATCTCCAGAGAAGCAGAATCCACAACCCGCCTGGGCAGCTTGTTCCTGTGCTCCGTCACCCTCACTCTGAAGAAGTTATTTTGCATATTGATGTGGAACTTCTTATACTTCAGTCATGACTGTTTTCCCTTGTCCTGTCCCCAGAGACCATGAGAAAAGAGGTTGGCCATGTCTCCTTGATTCCCACACAGATATTTATGTGCATTAATAAGATCACCTCTCAGTCTTCTTTTCTCATGGCTGAACGGACCCAGGTCACCCAGCCTCTCCTCACAGGGGAATACTCCAGGCCCTTTATCGTCTTTGAGGCCCTTTGCTGTACTCTTTCCAGGAGACCCCTGTCTTTTTTGTACTGGGGAGCCCAGTCCAGGATACAGACTGGCCAGGGCAGAGTAGAAGGGGAGGATCACCTCCCTTGACCTGCTGGCACGTTCCTTTTAATGCACCCCAGGAATCCCATTGGCCTTCTAGGCCACTAGGGCACACTGCATGGCCAACCTGTTGTCAACAAGACCCCCAGGTTCTTCTCCACAGAGCTCCTCTCTAGCAGTTCATGCCTCAGCCTGTTCCCAGGTGCAAGACTCCACTCTTGCTTTTATTAAACCTCATTTGGTTTATTGTTGCCCAGCTCTCCAATCTGTGCAGGTCTCTCTGAATGGCAGCACAGCCTTCAGCTGTGTCAGCCACTCCTCCCAACTTTGTATCATAGGCATACTTGCTGAGGGTGGGCGCTATCCCCTCATCAAGGCTGTCGATGAAGACATTGAACAAGACTGGTCCCAGCACCAACCCTTGGGGAACACTACTACTCACAGGTCTCCAACCAGACTCTGCATCACCAATCACAACCTCTGAGCTCAGCCAGTCAGCCAATTCTCAACACATTTCACAGTCCACTCATCTATCCCACACTTTCTCAGCTTCAAGATCAGGGGAACATGTGAGATGGTATCAAAAACCTTGTTGAAGTCAAGGTAGATGACATCCACTGCTCTCCCCCCATCTACCTAGCTGGTGATGCCACCAGAGAAGGCTACGGGGTTTGTCAAACATGATTTTCCCTAGGTGAATCCATGCTGAAAATGAACTTCAGAAGTTCCTGATTAACTTCTTCTCTTCCAATTGCTTGGAGATGACATCTAGAACAAGCTGTTCCATCACCTTTCAAGGAACAGAGGTGAGACTGACTGGCCTTGAGTTTCCTGAATTCTCCTTCTTTCCCTTTTTGAAACTGGAGTGACACTAGTTATCCTCCAGTCTTCATGCACCTCTTCTGTTCTCCAAGACCTGACAAAGATGATAGTGATTCAACATTCACCTCTGCCAGCTCCCTCAGCATGTGTGGATGCATCCCATCAGGGCCCATTTGTGCACATTGACCCCACCTAAGCTCTCCTGAACCACCCCCTCTTCAACCAGAGGGAAGCTCTCAATTTCCCAGTCTTCCCTTCAGGCATCCTGAGGGTGAATCTTTGAAGTGAAGACCAAAGCAAAGGAGGCATTCAGCATCTACACCTTCTCAGCATCCCCCATTACCTGGCCACCTCCCTCGTTCAGCAGGGGACCCACATTATCACTAGTCTTCCTTTTACTATTAACATACATTTTAAAACCCCTTCTTATTATCCTTACTCCTCCCGCTTCAGCTCCAGGTGAGCTTTAGCCTTCCTCTTCACTTCCCTGCATGTCCTGACAACACTCCCTATGCTCCTCCCAATAGGGCAAGAACTTTTGCTGCATTTCATAAACCTTCTTTTTCCCACCTACTCCCAGATGGAGCTCATTACATTCTAGTTTGTCTCTCGCATAGAGGGGCAGCTCCTCCACCTTGCTTCCTCAGCCTGACTTTCCAAAAAAGAACATAATCCTCCATAGACAGCACTCCAGTCACATGAGCTTTCCCACCAGGTATCTGTGCTTGCAGTGAGAAGCTATCCTATTAATTTCCTGTGCTGCATGCAATGGTATGCAGGCACTTAAGGGAAGCAGCAGGTGTAAGTATCCCATTGTTTTGCCCTGCAACCATTTTGAAAATAAGATTTGTCCTATTTGTGCTCCAGACTTAAATTAATACTACATATAGTTTGAGTACCTATATGTAATTGTTATTTTACACACTGTCTTGAAAACGATTCTTATTTTTCATTGTAAATTATTTGTGGAGAGGACATGGTATGCATTTATGAAATTAATCTCCATAATTAACAAAGCCTTCTTCTATTGTCTACTAAATTTTCCTGAACTCTTCTTCACATGCTTGAGCAGAGGTTAAAAGAGTCAAGGTCAGCTGAGAATCTTCTGACAAAATATCTCTGCGCATGAAAAAGTATGTACATGTAGGATAGGAATTTCAACCAAAAGAGCAAAGTCAATTTATTTTATTTTATTTTATTTTATTTTATTTTTTACACACTGTAGTAAATTAGTTTTAGCACAGGGCAAGTCTTTGCACTGATGGGAACTATGTAAACATTCAGAGAGATTCATTATCATTGTTTTAAGCATTTCCATCCACTCATGAATCTTGTTACAGAAGCAAGAAAGAAAGAAAGAAGTAAAGGTACTGTTTTGTGCTGAGCTTACCTGACACTTCTGCTGTGACATGGTGCCTGTCATACTTTGAATATATTTTCCAGCTGTTTCAAATTTTTGTCTCTTTACACTTAGGAGAGGGGAAATCACACTATCAGACTTACCAGCTGTTCTTGGTGTTATCTGGACTGGTTTTAATGCCCAGGAGGGAATACTGTTCCTTCATGAATTATGAAACTCTCATACGTTCATGGTACTGTGGTGAGCTTGGGTGAAATCTGCCAGGTGGCTCTTCTGTTCTTGCCTTGGAAATGTGGTTATCTTTCAAAGAACCCATCACTGACTAAATGTATTTAGACTTCAGTAAATAAAACCACAGAGCCTTATTGTTGGGATCATCCTTACAAATGTTTCTTGGTCTCTCACAATCCATAAACTTATGTACTGTGAAATGTTTGCCTACGAATGATCTCAGTGCAGGTTTCCCTTTGTAACACTTTGAAGGTGGGTTCTCATTTCATCTCATGCACGTGAATATCTACCTGCATACAGGAGTGTGTGAATAGCAAAGCCCTAGGGAGAATTAAATGACATTTATCCTGTACTTCCAATTGATTTACTTCTGATGTGCCCATTAATTTATTGCAAGAGATTCCTATGAGACTTTTTGAAACTACATATGAATGTAAAGATTCCTTACAAATGTGAGACAATGTAACATTTACATTCAAACGGATGGCTGAGGATGAGGGGAAAAAAAAAAAAGTGGCAGCAAAGAGGGTTATATCTTGATTTTTCCATAGAGATGTTTTCAGGCACTGAGAACGTGCCTGTGCATTTGTGCAGTCAGAAAAGAAATAAGCAATATAAGCTTTTCCAGGATAAAAAAAAAAAAAAAAAAGATTTAATTGTAAATATTTGGCATTAGAACACCAATCCAGAACAAGAAGAAAGCCTAAGGCGCTCTGTAGGAGCTGGTTAGGGCAAGTGCCATGAAAAGCCTTCGATAAATGGCTTTATTGTATTGCCCTCTACCGAAACTACCGAAGATTGCAGACTGATACTTAACGCGAAGGAAAAAAAGCTCGGGCAGGAGAGCCGTGAGATGGGTACAAACACGTTGTTTCACACTGCTCAGCAGAGTCTCAGATTCGAATACTTCTGGATTTGGAATCCAAAGAGGGGCTCGGGTTTTGTTCTGTCTCACTGAAGGGATATTCATTTCTTTAGAGAAGAATCTGTGTAGGCAGGACAGAGATCCGAAGTTATAAACTTGCCAAGAAAATGGGTATTATATCCTTGAACTTATAGGAAAAGAAAAAAAGAAAGCTTTCTGAGTTACAGAGGCAGATGGGTTCAGAGCTGATGAGAGAACTGTTGCATGAAACTGTGAGGAAAAGATCTCTCTGGGTCCTGTGCCTCAGATTATTATTATTTTATTATTATTATTATGTTTGCATGCTGAAAGAAAGTTTTGCGTGAAGCTATGAAAGTATTTAATTACTGTATAGGTGAATTAGCCAATTTTACACACTGGAATAATCCCTTAAAAGAAAACCTTCTTTCCATACAAGGAATTTGAGAAGGTGAATTACTCGTGGCAGCAAGCTGAAGATCTGACTTGTTTTGTGTAAAAGATGAAAGATCAGGCCATGACTCTTGGCTCTCTAAGATGCACTGGCTGTAGTTTCATTCCACCAAGTTAATTCACGGGTTCTGTGCTCTTGTTCAGCGTTAGCAAGGTCACCCAAGCTTTTGAATGGAAAAGAAAAAAATGTATCAGAATGACAGTTTTAAAGAACCAAGATAATAGAGTTCTGTGTTTGTTGGATTTCTCACAAATAAGGCAGCAGAACATCTCTAAGTAAAAAGACACATTTAGGTGTTCCTTCTTCCAAAGGCTAACTCACAGCCCTACAGCACTGCCCACAGTTTGTTGTGACATCCTTGCTGGAACCGAGAATTTATGAGCGTCGTTTTGGTTGTCTTGTCTCAAAGTGTTGAACTCTGCTTTTCGTGACTTTGAATGAGCAGGGTAAAAGTTAGGAGGACTCACCTGTATTTTTAAGGAAGCCTTACTGATATTGTTTTTACCTTAGCATTTCATAAAGCACATTTTGATTGCTGAAATAGCTGTGGTACCACTGACAATAAAAGCATATTAGCATGCTGCATCTCCTTATGCAGCGTGTCAAAGTTGGAGATGTGTTGTGAAAGTCCTTCAAATACCTCTGTTGTGAGGATGATGTAAAAAGGCTCATTTACAGAATTTACTCTAGTGAATTGCTCATAGAAACAGAGAGGGTTCCTGCGAAACGGTGATTTGAGGCCAAAAAGTACTATCCTAAGTGTGCCTCATTACATAGCTGGAGGTTTTCATAGGTGTCTTGTATTTATTGTATAAGCATCTTGTATGTATTGTATCACCTCTTGGAGTGGGGAAATGGAGGGATCTGTTCTGTCTCGGTTTCTCGAGTAAGCAATGAGACTTCGCTGGAGGTAAACTGACGTCTGAAGGAATAGCGACCTCAGCAGACCGACAGGTGACGTTACTTCAATTTTAGGTCCTCTTCTTTTTGTGAAATAAAGGTAAAGGAAATTGTTTTATGTTAAACGTTCCATTTCACATTGAGTGAGACTGAGGGAAAAAAAAAGTAAGTATTTAGCAAATAAAGTCCACATACTTGATGATACACATGAAAAGTGTTTTCCTTCTGTCTTTTTTTGACACTGTTGCCATGAGAGTGAAACTCTGAAAATCTTGTTTTCTCTGAAGAAGGAATTTTCTGCTGAGGACTGACAAAGCAATAGAACAGTACTCAGCCCATCACTTTGTTTTTGTGATTACTCTTTATTGTGAAAAATGATCACAATGATACGTAGTGCAGTTCACCTCTCTTCTGCTTTGTCTTATAGTGATACGTACATATAGAACACATCTAAATTTGCCTTTAAAAATAAATAAATACATAACGAAAGCAATGGCTTAAAATGTCTTGAGTGAAACATTCCATAACATACCTATGCCTCTGGTGATTTCCAGCATCAAAGGTCACCCTTTCTTCTGATCGCTTAGCAGCCTTTACATTAATTTCCTGCTTTATGCATTGTAATAAATTTTTTGCTTATGTGGTTAGATACTAAGAATGAAGTTCACAACAGACTGGATTTTGTAAAATGGATGTTGTTTCTTTTTTTTTTTTTTTTTAAACAAAGTTGTTTTTCAGAACCATCCACTGCTTGTGTTTTTAGAAAAGTAGAAATTGCAAAATTTATCACGTGCCAAAGAAGAGCATTTGTTCAACTGTGCTCTTAAGTTGTGTAGTAATGAATAAACAGTAAAATACATGACTCTGATTAGGAATAAAACCAAAGCAACTGATCTTTGCAATGTTTTTTTGGACACTGAATGCTGCTAAGAAGAGAAAATGTGAAAAACAAAAGAATGATGATATAAGATGCTGAAGAGAATAGACATACAGTCTATGGTAATTAGTGTATATTTTAGACATGCTGCCAGGTGGATGAGACAAAGGTGTGTGTTTGTCAGTGTTATCGCTCTTGGGTTTTGATTACTCCAGCAATTTTAAGTGGCTGTATTAGTAGGGATGCAGAAATTTCACGATAGTTCGCACCATCTAATAGATGTTTTCTAGTCACAACTCAGAGGAAAACGTTGTCTTCCTCATATGCTTGACAATAACCTTTCTTCCTTGAAGTTCTGTGTACTCTGTCCCACAGTTCATGCTGTACCTGAGCTTAACTCCGAATTCCTTGAATTCAATAATAAACTTTTCATACAGTTGAAAGATATTTGACTGATAATCTGTTTCCAGGATCTTATCAGTTTATTGTTATTTTTTTGTGAGGGGAGTAAGTTACATTGTTACTTGTAATACGTGTGCAATTACTGTATGAATTGTGCAAATTTAAATAAAGATATTTTGGTAACGTTTTCTGCCAAGAAGCAGTTCCTGAATTTCACCTGGGTAAACAGGTACGAAATAAAGTTCAGCAATTTTTTCTCTCATGAAAACACTGTGAGTGTAGATTATACATGACTTCAGAGATGTTCAAAAAGCCAGTAGAATCTTGGTCCTCTAGTGTGAGGTTTGGACAGCAAACTTTAGACTTAGACTATAGATTATTGGAAATATTTCCTCACAAGAAACCGTTGCTGAAAAATGTTCTACTGAAACTATTTTGCTCCTTTCTCTTCTTCTTTATTTTCAGTTTGTAAAAAATGAATGTTTTCAGACAACTTTAACTGGTAACTTTTCCTTCATTTAATGCACAACTTTGCACCTAATGAAGAAAACGAGAGACCCTCAAAATCAACCTTCTTCAGGCAGTCATTCAGGTCTGTTTTGCTGGTATTCCAGACAAGAAACCTACGTGCTAGGGACATGGCTGACCTGAAGGAACACATTAGTGATGTTTTTGAGGGATCCTGAGTCTCCCCCAAGGGGAAACACTGCTTCATCTCAGCGTTTTCCAAACTGGTGACAGAACCATTTACTGTTCTTCCAATGAGATGCTGAAAAGGAGAGAGAAAAAAAAAAGAAAGCATAAAACACTAGTAGAACTGCTTTCTCTAATTCACTTCTACATTTGTGTTGTTTTTTCTTTTTTGGTTATAAAGTGATCTGTCATTAAAAAGCCTTTTCATCCACTCCACCCCCAACAAGAAAATGTTTCCTGAAGGCAGCAGAAGAAACTGCACCCAGCTGCCCTTTTGTTCACCATAATATCAGGGCTTCTGCTTGTTAAGCAGCCACCTATGTACTGATTGATGTAAAAGCCTGGAAGCACTTTGCGTTGGAGAGCTGCATGGGGACATATATCCTACAGCACCTGAGTGTTCAGATGACTTCTGCATTTCCCAGGCACAAAATCCAGAGCAATGAGCCAGCATCAAATAGATTTTTAGAGAGATTCCTGTTGGGAAATTTTCAAGTTTAGCATTGAAAGATGGCAAGTGCAGATGTACTTGAATACAAAACAGCCAGGTTGTCATGGTTATATGTTTTTTTGTTTTGTTTTTTGTTTTTGGGTTTCAGTATTTCACATCAAAACATCATGTAGTGTACGGGGCATTAAAGTGTCACTGCCCCAATCCCAGCTACCTATCCCTGTACATTACAGAAGTCATGGGATCTGGCCCTTCTGGGTGGGGGGGGGCGCTCTTGCTGCCTTGCAGTGGGTGCTGGAGGGTGCTTTCCTGGCCGTTCCAAGATTTTCAGGTTTGACTTGGTCCTGGGAACTCTCTCTCTCTCATCTTGTCTGATTTATTCATCTCAATTTCAATTGAATTGTATATATTGTGTTATCTTGTATTCCAATATTATAGTAAAATAAGTTTTCCTCCATAGATTGTTGCCGCTGCTCTTTTCCTCCCTTCCTTCCTTCCCATTTTTGTGGGACTGGGGTCGGGGGGGAGGGCAGAGGCCCTGTCACAGACATAGATTGATCTGGTCAACTCCGTGACACAGGTGGGTTTAGTAGACGTTGTGCTAGGTAACCTCTAAAGAAGAGGAAAATCCTAGTATTAACAGTAATTTTTGTTGAGTAAAATTAGACATTCTTAATAGTGAATGTTTTGATAAAGAATCATACATATTTTTTTATATTGTTGTTTACAATATTCTTCAACTGCAACCAACAAATAAATAAACAAAAAAAAAATCTCAGTCTTCCCCTTCTTTGTTGTTGTTTGTGGACCCACACTTTCTATTTTGGGTGATTTATGGCACCCAAGTTGAAATACTGTCTGCGTACTGCTAGGATGAGAAAGTGGATGCAAGCTGCTAGAAGGAGATGTCTTCTGGCTGATGTAAATCTGCTGATGTGAGCAACAGCGTGCCTTCTTCCAAGATTTTTCAAAGGGGAGCACAGCTCATTTCCAGCCATTCCTATTTTTCACACAGTACAAGTCCAGTTCTGAGCTCATGACCACTTGTTGAAAATGGTGCTCCATTTACATTTCATAGATCTTCACTCCATTTCTTCTCTCTAGGAGGCTTGTTGGGCTCACATCCTCCTCTTCCTGGCATTCTTCCTCCTAATATCTACAGTCTGTACCTGGAGTTCTCAGTTCTGGTCAGAATTTTTTGCAGAATTTCTCACTCAAAGCACTTGATTTTTCATCAGGCAGCCTCATGATTTTCCTTTGAAGGCTTTTGAGCTGTTATTTTAATGTAACCAGATTTATATTTTATTACACAACTTGGTTTGCTGGCAGATTTAGTCAAATGTTCTCAGCATACCTTGGATGAGTTGAACGGGACAAGAGTTTCACAGCCTTCTTTGTAGAGGATAAAGGGCAGAGGCTTGACTACGTTTTTATTCACAAGATTTCAGTTACAAGAAATGAGATTCTAATCCCACAGTGGGAGTGAGCAGGGGGAACCAACTTTCCTGTAGACTTTCTCACTGAAATATGTGACCGGCTGATAGCAAGAGCTTTTCCTTTTCTCTCCTTTTTTTTTTTTTCCATTTGTTTGTTTATTTTCTTTCTTTTAGCTAGTGATCATTTCCCAAGGCTTTTGAGATGTAAACATACTCTCTGTTACTTACTTTCTAAACTCATACTAAGCTGTCCTCTGAAGTATCGCATCGAAGTCACACTATTTTATTTTTTTTAGAAAATCCTGCAAATAATGCTTTTTTTCTACTCAGATCAGCAAGTATTTATTTATTTATTTATTTTGGCCACTGGACAAAACGGAGGTGTACTTCTCATTATCTGTCCCCACTAGAGTAAGAAATAGGTAGCAGTCCCTTAATTCTTCTAACTTAGTTTAGAATCCATTAATTAGTCAGTAGCTGTGACTAATTATTTACTTCCAATTAACCTGGAAATCATTTCAAAATGAAGCCAGAAAACATGACTACCATGGTAAAATGGTAAGTTTCTGTTATCAATTGGTGATGCAACCTTGTGACATTACATACCCTATCTAGGTGTACCTTGACAATAGAGAAGGTGATTTATTTCGTACTTTTGTTTTGTGCTGCTTTATTTATTTATTTTAGTACTTATATAGTACTAATTCCAACTGTGCTGTTGTATTTCAAGAGGAGTTTGTGGTCTGTATTTTATTACTTGTTAGAACACTAGCTAGAAAAAGTTAATGTACTGTATGTGAGTCTGGTGATTTGAACATTGACTGACTTGAACACTTTGCCCTGCTGGGGAGTGGAAAATTGCCAGAGATACCAGCGCATCGCTTGTACACTGAATACTTTTCCAAAGCTGAATAAAATTTCATCGAAAGAAAACCTGAAACAAATCAACATCAGGGCTCTGCTCTGAACTTAGGAATGGCTTACAATGTGGTATTTCTATGTGATGTTAAAAACAAATAAGCAAACAGCAATTGGCTTGGCCTCAACTGATCCATTTCTATCACAGAATGGATCAGACCCTAAAGATCACCAAGCTCGAACACCTCTGCCATGGCCTGGGCTGCCACCCATTCAATTGTGCTACCCAGAGCCCCATCCAGCCTGGCCTTGAACGCCTCCAAAGTTAATCACAACTTCACCAGGCATCCTGTGCCAGTGTTTCAATGCCAGTGTCTTAAGTAAAAAAATTCCTGCTCTCTAATACCTAACCTAAATCTCTTGTCTTTTAATTCAAAGGCATTCCACCTTGTCCTGTCCCTATCAGGTTATATGGAAATGCCAAATCACAGCTTGAACAGGTGATAGAGCACCTGGTGAGAAGCTGGGGCCAACCCAGAGAAGCTCAGGTGTATGCAATGCAGCTGAATGACTGGGAGGGGTGAAGCCAGGATCCATGCCTTCCTAGACCCCATCTAAGTGTTGGCAGTGGAGGTGTCTTGCTGGCAATTCCTACCTCCTGGAGGCCTTCTGAAGGTGAGCAGCTACTTTTCTTTGTTTCTGCATCCACAGCTGCTGCTGCTGTGTTTGGGTTTGTTCTCATTTGCTGCAGCTGAGGGCTTTGCCACCCTGCTGTTATTGCTGTGCTTTTCATCACATTACACAGACTGTGTAAAATGTCGGTCCCTCTCCTGTTCATAAGCTCCCTTCAAGTGCTAGAAGCCATAATGGGGTGTTCTCTTCTCTGAGATAGGCAAACCCAATTCCCTCAACTTTTCTTGATAGGAGGGCTACTGCAGCTCTTTGCTCATTTTTGTGGCCTTTCTCTGGACCCATTCCATGAACTCCACATTCTCTCTCATGCTGAGGGCCCCAAGCACAGTGCTCCAGATGGAGCCTCATGAAGGCAGAATAGAGGGGGACAATTGCCTCCCTTTTCCTGACATCCCTCCCTCTCTTGATGCAGCCCAGGATACCTTTGATTTTCTGGGCTGGAAGCACAAGCTGTTGGCTCACATTGAGCTTCTAGTCCACCAGAATCCTTGAGTTCTTCTCCACCTCAGTGAGTTCTTCTCCTGGTCTGTGCTTGTATCTAGCAAGGCCCTGAGCCTGCGGTGCGTGTTATCAGGCCCCATAGACTTGTATGCATTCAGCCTCATTGGGTGGTCTCAGACACATCCTTATCTTACAGTAGGAGGGATTTTGATCTCCCAGCCTGTGCCCGGAGGTTTAGGGACACAACAAATATGGAAAGCCTGACCACCAGCAAAGATTGAGTTGAAGGACATTGGGCACCTCAGCCTTCCCTATGTCTGTCATTGCCTTTTCTCATGAGAGTGAGTATGCTTTCCTTGCCCTTTTTCTTCTGAGCAATGTGCATGTAGAAATACCTTCCTGTCTTGTTTTTTGTTTTATTTTTTAATCTTCTGCTGAGTTCAGTTTCATCTGAACTGCTGGGGGCTGGAGAACTGTCATGCTCTCAGAAAGGTGTCCTTAAAGAGCTCCTTTCATGCTCCTTTCTAACTTGGCATTTGAGAATATATATATATTGTTGGAGAAGAATTTGGACACTGCTCCTGGAGATAGCACTTGCAGTTCAGGTGATCTCATGCAGAGGTAATAGTTGTAGGTCCCTTCCGACCCAGACTGCATTCCTATTCTGTGTAAAACAGATATTTTACTGTTTAAGCTTACCTCTCATCTCAGTAATATACATTTTAGACATCCCTCTGGAAAAGATCTATGCCCTGTTAAGTGCCTGCAGAGATGCTTGCACTAATTAGTCAAACTAATAACTCACTGAGATGCTGAAGTCAAGTCATGACAATAGCAGTTATCTTATTTAAGTAAATTAGCTCCATTTTTTTTTTTTTTATCCTGCATTAGCTGCTGTTGCACTTCAATCACAGAAGAACTGCTTTTAATTAGTTAATGATCCAAAAGTTATTAGTAACTTCAAATTCTCACATTAAGGTACAATATACTGCACACAAACATTTAATGCAGAGGCACCACCCCAGTGAAGTCCCTTGTCTTTTGTAAAAGAGCAAATGCAGAATACAACATATTGGCATTTCTTGCTGGAGTTCGGTCTCAGGTTGGGAGGAAGGCTCCCAGGAACTCACTGAGATTAAACACAAAGGGTTTCATCAGGACACGCTCCTGTGTAATCAAGCAAGAAACCAGATACAATTCTCAGCCAGCCTCATCTTAGAAAAGAAAGCCAGAAGTTTGTTTCAAGACAGTCAATGCCACTGCTCTCTCAGGATAGTACATCTATCTTCAAGCTCTGGAGAAGCTCTACCACATTCAAGAAAGGCTGCTGTGCAGAAATTCAGCTGCAACAATACAAATGCCAAAAACATACTGTGATTTCATGTGGTGAGTAAAGCAAGTCTGAGGTATCATACTGTTGAAGTAGATGATTTGCAAACATTTGTTGTTGACATAAGTTTGTTTGTTTGTTTGTTTTTTAAAGCAGAACACGCAATGCTAAATGGCCAGCTGCAGAAGGAGTCCTTTTTCTCCCCTTTCTCATCCCTCAAGATAATTCAGCTAATGGCGTCAGCCAGGGAATAAGTCCAAAGCACAGAAATAGCAGGTGCATCCTTTGTCTGCGGTAAGGATTTTTATTATTATTATTATTTATTTATTTATTTATT